TAGAAGATATGCATTCCCCTCCAGCCCATATTCAAAAAGCAACATAGCAGTATCCATGTCAAATACCAAAGATGCTAAATACGCATCACAAACAGACTTCATCCCATCGCAACAGAACTTGTTGGCTAATGACAGGAGCTCTAGGACAATGTCTGGGTCGAAAGAGTCCATNATACATTGATCGCTCCTGATACATCCACCCAGAAGGTGTATAATCAGATACGAGGGAGTTCATCAACTTATATGCCTTGTACATATGCCCGCGCTTGTACTTGGATCTGGCAATTCCTACTAAGGAATAAACATGACCCGCTTCAACAGCTGCCTCGAACCATTTCTGTGCATCCTTGTACTCTTTTCTTTCAAGCATCACACAACCTAATTGGTGGAACGCTAGTTGCTTCTGCCAGCTTTCACTTGCACATTCTCCCATCCTTTCCAACAGCATAACCGTTGTATTCGATTTCAAGTCATCCTCCATAGCTGATTGGCTCAGAAAATAGTACAGCAAAAAGGAAGCATGTCCTATGTAAGCTAATCTGTCTTTACCTTCTGAACTGCAGAAGAGCCTTGACACGTTTGGATTGTGCATTGAATTTGGAAGTTCCCTTAAAAATACCTGTAAACATGCTGCCACTAGAAGATATGCATTCCCCTCCAGCCCATATTCAAAAAGCAACATAGCAGTATCCATGTCAAATACCAAAGATGCTAAATACGCATCACAAACAGACTTCATCCCATCGCAACAGAACTTGTTGGCTAATGACAGGAGCTCTAGGACAATGTCTGGGTCGAAAGAGTCCATGCTTTTTGTTCTGCTAAACATCTCAGCAGCTTTCATCCCCTTTGCGGAAATCTCATTTTTTGAAAAATTTATTTTCTCCCTTCGCGAGTCAATGAAGCTACCATACAGCATAGCTTCAAATGGCCTAGAAAGTGATGCTATGTTAAATCTCCTACACCTGATCTCATCATCTCCAATGCAAAATGACATGTCAAAATCCTCGTCCTCCTCATCGCCACGACTCAATGAAGTGGAGCATTCTTCATCCATGTAAATTTCAGTATCCTCATCTTTTCTCATACCCCTGTCACATATACAAGGATCAGTAGCTGATTCAGGATTATACCCCGCCAACAAAGCACTGCCCGGGCATTCCATGCTTCGGCCACAACAATCCATGGCCGATACACCAATCAACTCATCCTCCCTTCGTTCAAACCTCAACCAGGCAGAAAGAACAACCTTGGAATGCACATCAACGGCGTGTAGCCTAGCTGACATAAGGCACCTCCTAAACAATTTAGGATCTGGTAAGCCCCTAAATATGGCACATTGCTCAAGATACATCCTTGACTTATCAAACTGAGCACAACCCTCCATCCTACGATACACATCAGCTAATGTCTCCACAAAGTTCATAGGTTTGAGACAAAACTCAATCTGGGGCTCAAGTTGATCCGTTTTTGGTAGGCCATAACTGGCAAAGGCTTCAGCTAAAACAACCGAATTAACCTCATCTTTTGATTGAACAGCTTGAAAATTACTATTGGATCTAGACCTAATAGAATTTTTTGACAACAGGTTTTGTAAAAACTTCTCACCTACACCCCCACCCCCACCATCAATAGACTGATTAAGGGCATAAACTTGTGTTCCCTTACACCCTTCCATCATCTTCAAACTACGCATTGTTGTAAAAATGTTATGTTGCATATTCCCTCAAATTCAAGATTCTCCACCAATATAAACATAAATATTCTAACGAAAATATTACGCACAATAAAGAGGATTGTCACACACACAAAAAGACTCGAATTCAAGATTCTCCACCAATATAAACATAAAAAAATTCTAACCAAAATATCACACGCAATAAAGATCACAACTTTACAAAGAAATCTCACCTGCAAACACCACCCTTTTAGGTAAACAAGAAAGAACAAATAATACAAAAATAATGGTGCTGCAGGCTATTTTGGGGACTCACAATAATGGGTCCTTATTATTATTTTTCTATTTCCTTCCAAAACCTCACCTTTTTCTGGGGAAAAAAAACGAAAAAATCGAGTCTTGGTGGGTTTTATTTCAATTACTTTACCTGAAGAAGATATAACGAACTCAACAAACTAATTCTTTGTGATAGATAATCATACGTGTGTTTACAGTGTAATAATAGGCTTGGTTTTTGTACAGAGAAATGGGTAATGGGTATATGTAAAAATCCGTTAAAATCGGAGAGCCGCTGAAGGAGAAAAGTTGTATTTCAGCGCGCCATCTTTTCCGACAATACCCGCTTTAACCGACCCGTACCCGTTGGGCTGGTCGGATGAATTCATTATTGGCGCGTGATCTAAGACGTGATTCCTTTATTGGAGATTAAGGAATAATAGCACTTTTGGTTCCTTAGTTATTGATAAATTCTGCTTTAATCCTCGTAATATATGATTCAACATCTTTAAAGATTAAATAATGAAAATGTGTATTATTGGCCCATTTATATGGAGAATATGTTATTTTTAAAATTATATTGCAACAAATATGGAGAAACAATACTAACTTAACATAACACATGAGTAATTAAATGGTAGAACGATTAATAATTCTGATAACTTTGTGAATATTCACAAATAAAAGGATCGAATGTGCATATTTTAATTAATTAAAGGTTAAATGTATTTAGTCAAACATTACATGGAGTACGTAATCGACACATTAAATAAGTTAGAGGCAAATGTTCTATGTTAGGACCACATTATGTATGTACTCTTTGTTAGACGAGGTTGAATAAGAATTTGTTTTGGTTGGCTCTCAACATAAACTTCAACATAGCTAATATAAGGTTCAATTGATTTTAGAAAAGAAAAAAAAAATCTTTGCTGCTGTGAATATCTAAATATGGCATTTTGCTGAATGTATTATATTGTACATTAATCGTAATGCTCCTGGAGAGGCATATTTCGAATATAGAGGAGTGAAAGTTCCCAACAAATAAGTACTTTTTCATATTCTTCCATAAATCATAGGAGCAGCCGCTTTCAGTCGTTCCCAAAATTTAAATTGAATAGACATCAAATGGGAGAGAAGATGATAGCTTGCACTAGCTAAGTGTTGCAGAATAGACATTAAAATGCAGTATTTACCCTCTTAATATTCACATAATAGTCTTATGCATTATACTTACCGCATACAAATAATTATTATCTGTTGCATATTTTTTGTATAATTGGTTGGTGAAACAAATGGTCCACAAATGAATGTGCAGGAATAGAGGATGAACATAGTGCTTTCTTTAATTTTTTTTTACGAGAATATTGTCCAAAAAAAAAAAGGAAAAAAAGGGGGGAATGCGAGTGGGAACCGAAGGATAATGGATAATGATTGATGATTGGATGTTAAATAGAAAATGAAGGGGAGAAATTCAAAAATAATTAGATTTATAAGTGGTAATTGAAAAATAGCCACAATTTCAAAAGTAATTGAATTTTACCCATTTTTCATGTAAAAGATAAATTTGAACTAAAACACTATTCAAAATCCGGAAAATATTCTAGCATAATATGCTGGAGTTTGAATTTTTTACATATGAACTTCCGGCATAACATGCTAGAATTTCATAATGTGCTAGAGTTCCAACATAATATGCTGAAAGTCTATACATAGGTGCTCCAATCTCCAGTATATTATGCTGGAACTTTTATTGTTGCAGCAAAATAGTGGCTATTTTTCAATGACTTTGCAAACGCTGACTATTTTTCAATTACCAGTCCGAAAACTGGCTAGCTCGTGCTATTTTAACAAAATTAAGTGTCCTACTGGTATGCCCATGGCCTAACATTTTAAAGGAATTTGTACCTCATATAGCAAAGTTTGATACTTTATTTATTTTAAATAAACGCCCTTTTAAAAAAAATTATATTTCATAGCTATCTTTTGATTTTTGTAGCCAAATATCTATTTATGGTTACCTCCTACCCTTAAGCCATAAAATACTCTTTGTATTATTTTTCCCTCTCATTCTTTCAGATTTTTCTTCACTCTCTCTCTCTCTCTCTCTCTCTCTCTCTCTCTCTCAAAACGTCAGTCTTTCTCCATGAATATAACCACTATTCTCCACTGATTCATCTCCATTGTCTCGCGAAATTTTCACTGTCAGTGGGCTGGGGCTCTGAATCAATGTCGAAATCAAGCCCCGGAGAGAAAGATCCACCCCATTCTGATGGCCGTTGCTTTGCAATGAAATCTGGACATGGTCACTACAACTCTTGCCTCTCACCACCTCCATTGCTGCTTTTCTTCATCTACCAAATTCACAATTACTAACAAAAGAAGACCATATGCTATTGAAAATAAAGAATTTCTTTTGTTTTTGTGCCAAATATTGAGAGTTTCGAGTCAGAATCGCGGCCCTCTTGACGAGACGACATTAGGGTTGTTCTTGAAAAAAGACGACGGAGTTTTGGGGTAAGCAACTTGAAGAGTCTGTTACCTTTTTTTCCCATTGTATTTCAATGTATCTCGCTGTATTCTATGTATTTCATTGTATTCATTGTCTTGTTTTTTCATTGTATTTCAATGTATCCCGCTATATTCCATGTATTTCATTGTATTCACTATCTCGCTATATTCCTTGAATGTATTCATATGTTTTTTTAAATTAATATAATTTATGTATTCATATGTATTATATAATTTCTCTGAAGATTGCTATGTTTTTTGGGTGTTTTTAGATTGAGAATCTTTTTTATAACTGAAAATACAAATTTTGTGTGTTATAATTGAGTTTGAGTTATATTAGAAGTCTATTATGTTAATTGATTCACTTTCCGTTTTAAAAACAGTTGAATAGACCATGAATTGCGCTATTTACGTTACTATATTCACAAATACATATCGTGAATATAGTTGAATACAATAATTTGTCTAACTGTAATCTCCCTGTTTTACGCCGTGAATATAGTCGAATACAATAATCTATCTAGCTGTAATTCTCTATTTCACGCCGAGAAATGCTACTGTATTCATGAATACAGTAGCTTAAATACATCGAATACACTCTAAAAAACCTGAAAACATAGTTATAAGAAGTAATATAGTAAATAGTAGCTACAACTAGTTAATAACTACTAAACAATAGTGGTTTTTGAAAAATTCTCTTTTGTAAAACCTATATAAGACCGATAAAATTTAGATTGTTTATTTAGACTTTAAGGTATCAAAACCAGAAAATTAAATGATTAAAAAGAATATACACAATCATGTCCTTAAAATATATTTATATGTAATAATGAAAAATAAGTGTTATGCAATCTACTCTAACAGACAATCACATTAATCGTGTAAAATATTATTATATTGCTAGTGAATATAATTTAAATTCAATTTAAATGAATAGTAACACAAGTTCAAAATTTAATGATCTCATGACCAAACTGTCAAATAAAACCTTATCTATTTCTCGTTAAATCTATAACAAAAAGATTTAGGCTCTCCTTTTAGCTCTAAATAATGTAAAAATAGCATGGGCTAGCCAGTTTTCGGACTGGTCATTCAAAAATAGACAGCGTTTGCAAAATCATTGAAAAATTGCAACTATTTTACTGCTACACGGAAAGGTCCAGCATAATATACTGGAGATCGGTGCACTTGTATATGAACTTCAAGCATATCATGCTGGACCGGTATATTATATTGGAACTCCAGTATAATATGCTAGAAGTCTAGTATACTTTTGCTGGATTATACTGGAGTTACCGTATATTATACTGGAGTTTAAGTATATTATACTGAAATTCCAGTATATTATGCTGCAGTATGTTTCAGATTTTGAACAGTGTTTTCGTTCAGATTTATCTTTACACGAAAAGTGGTCAAATTTCGATTACTTTTCAAACTGTGGCTGAAATGACCACTTGTAAATATGGCTATTTTTTAATTTCTCCCCAAAATAGCACGGGCTAGCCAGTTTTCAGATTGGTCGTTCAAAAATAGCTAGCGTTTGCAAAGTCATTGAAAAATAGCCACTATGTTGTTGCAACACGAAAAGTTCCAACATAATATACTGGAGATTGGTGCAATTGTGTATGAACTTTCAGCATATTATGCTGGAACTCCAACACGCGGAAAGCTCCAACATAATATACTGGAGATTGGAGCACCTGTGTATGAACTTCCAACATATTATGATGGACCGGTATAATATGCTGGAACTCCAGTATATTATGCTGGAACTCCAGTATATTATGCTGGAACTCCAGTATATTATACTGGAGTATTTTTCGGATTTTGAACAGTGTTTTCGTTCAAATTTATATTTACATAAAAAATGACTAAATTTCGATTACTTTTGAAATCGTGGCTATTTGATTGACCGCTTGTAAATTTGGCTATTTTTTAATTTCTTGTGCAATTGGAGTTTCTAATCTTAAAAACAAGGAATTTTTACACCCTATAGAAAACCTTAGTACCCTATTTATTTTAAATAAATACCACTTTAAAATATTACATCTTATAGATACCTTTTATACTTTATAGCCAAATATTTAATTATAGTTATATCCTACATTTAAGGCACCATATATGCTAAATAATATTTTCTCTCTCCTTTTTAGTCTTTTCTCTCACATAATCACACTAAAATTGACTAACCACGTTCTCTCTCTTTTTGCATACATTTTACTCTTTCTCCCTCAACCCACGATTCATACCTCTCCTCCCACCCAAATTCTCTAGTTCTCTNTTAAATACATAAAATATATTGTATAAAAACATAAAAGGTATCTATAACACGTAATATAGCAAAGGATATCTATAAATGGCTAATTAAACTTAAAAGATGGTGCTTTATGAAAAATTCCCTAAAAATAATGAATGCACAAATAGAATTAATAGCCTGAAAATATTAATTGGAACTTGGAAGCATGTCGCTAGAAACTAGAGAGAACCTAGGCAGGAGTACAATTTACTTGACTTGGTCTAAACTCATTCTGCACCATAATTGATTTATAGTTGCAACTTGCAACTAATTGAGTTGAACAAGCAATTTATTAAACGAAATGTCTAGAAAAATGTTAGCTCGTGGGGTACCATCACCAGAGCCATGAATGCCACTATTTTCTTTTCACATTGACATTGAACTAATGAACATAGGATTTCTTAATTATTTAAATGATTATGACGATATACCTAGTCCTAATTTGTTGGCATTTGGCATTGACGTCTCCCAATTCCTTCATTATATTTCTTAATCACAATTAGCCAACTAATGATGTTAGGAGAAGAATAACAAATTGAGTATAGGAGAATCTAACTAAGAGTTTAAGTCAGTAAATACGAAATACTAATGAA